ATTTTCACGTTTGGGACCAAACACAAGTCATGAGCATTTTTCCCGAACAAGTCTTTCCCTTTAAGTGCTCTAATTTTCCTATGCATTTCTTGAAATTGATCTTGGAAATCCTCCATCCTATCGAAGATACCTAAACTTTCACTAGGTTCATCATGATAAATGAGTTCATTTGTATATGGAATAGTGTGAACCACGGGAGCAGTGGTAGTCATTACAGGCTGAGGGAAAGATACCATAGGCTGGATCACAGGTTACACAATAGTCATCTCAGGTTGAGGAAAAGATATAATAGGTTGAATCATGGGTTTCACAGCAGGCTGGTACCCTTCTGGTGTGAAATTGTAAGGCATACCCCATGGAAAACCTTTCGGAATTTGATGTTACGGAGGGTTGACTGGAGCCAAAGAGGCTGGAGCAGTGACGATCTCGGAAGCCACAATAGTTTGAGCTTGAGTTTTAGTGGAGGAATTCGATGGCTGATTCTGAGCAACCATCAAGCTTTCCACCAAAGCCGTCAATTTTTCCATTCCACTACGAAGAGTGGTAACCTCCTCGCGAAGCTCATGATTTTCTTGCTCTAGGTCTTCCATTCTCTTTCGATGATTGGCTCGAGTATTATACTGGTGAAACAGCTTGACGATATATCAGAGTGGAAAATAAGTAAGAATAAGACTCTAGAAAACATGTAAGATTGAATGTTGAATGATGCATGATATGTGATGCAAATGATTATTTATTTTTTATAGTTTTTCAAGGAACTTTAAGACTTTTATAACTTCGCAAATATCAATGGTAAAGAACTTTGGAACAAAAAAAATCATTTCATTAATAAAAGGCAAAAAATTACAAATTTGGAACATAGAGCCCTTTTAAAGAGTTTTACAAAATTACAAGTAATAAAACTAGGGACTAAGATCATTAAGAATCATCATCGGACGAAGGACCAAATGTGACTTGTAACTTGAGCTTCCTAATCTTCTTTTCATAGAAATCTTCCATCTCTGTCTTCTCGGCTACCAGTTGATCAACAACTTTCTTCCATGGATTAGGAACAGGAGTAACGCTTATAAAATCTTCTTTCTTTCTCTTCTTTTCCTTAGCATATTTCTTGAGAAATGCATCTTTCTGATGAAGCTTCTCATCATGATAAATAAACTAACCATCTTAAATAAATAGCATATCCTCCTTCTCCTTCAGCTATCGAGTCAGGACCCTGTTTTCTTATTTGGACATACTATACTTTTCCTTCCAATCATCACTTTCAGATTCCATTCTATCCATATTTTCCTGATACTCTTTCATGTTCTCAATAGGAATGGCAGTAGATGATAGTGTAGCAACAGGGAATAAGGGTCTCTCGGGATAATAAGGCACCTTGAGAACACAAGCCCTAACACGAATCCATTAAAGGTAAGGCTCCAAAGAAACAACACCTCTCTGCCCTAACATATCTCTTCCTTTTCTATGGATATGGCACCAAGCCCTTTCAATCTCCTCCTTAGCTTCTTTTTGATCCTTTCCTTCTTGGAGAAAGAAACCACTCAGATGAATGTTATTTGGCTTGTCCTTCATTTGGTATCTGAACTGGCGGCACGCAAGAACAGGATTATAGTTAATTCCTCCTTTTGTACCAAGAAGAGGCACGTTGGGAAAAACATCATAACTATCAATGATCTTCACATCATAATAAGCTTGATTGTACCAATCTATGTCAGAATGTGTAAGAGCCATAATTTTTGGTACCCATCGTGGCTCCTTATTGAGATCCCAAAAAACATCAGACCTAGGTAAATGGGAAACATACCAATGGTATAACAATGGTGCGCAACAAATAATCATCCCACCTTGGTAAGAATTTCGAAGATGGATGGAATAGAAGGTATCTCCTAGCAGCGTGGGGACTGGATTTCCAATAAAAAAGTTTCTAATGGCGTTGATATCCACAAACTTATCAATGTTAGGGAACAAGAAGAATCCATAAGCAAGCAAGGCAAAGACAACTTCAAAGGCGACATTATCCTTTATCTCGGCAAAGTAACGAGCTTTCTTCAACAAAAATTGTGTAGGTAAGCCTCAGATTCCTCCATTGGTGGTCATTTTATCTTCTATCTCTGACTTCCTTAAGTGGGTAATTGTTGCTATCTCATGAGATTTGGGTTCCCCTTCTAAATCAGAGAAAGGAACACAGTTTGTGATTGGTAAACCAAGTACATAGGAATACTCTTCCAAAGTGGGCATCGACTAGTAATTAGGAAAAGTGAAGCATCGATACAATGGATCATAGAACTGGACCAACGTAGTAAGGATACCTTCCTTCATCTTGTGCTTCATAAGAGGAATAATAGATCCACATTTCTTTCGAAAATATGTATGGTTCTCAATCTTGGGGATCAAACTCTTCAACTCTTTAATCTCAAGATCCTTGAAATTATAACTCTGAGTGTTCCTTTTTCCAAAATCCATAGTAAAAGTACTTGAGATGTTTGCAAAAATCATTCTTAAGTTCCTTGAAAAACATGTTTAAAAGAATGCTTATGGATGCATGAATGAATGATAATGCAACAATTACATATAAGTTCACAAACATGGGGGTTCAAAGGTTCAACGCTACGAGCATGGAGTCAAAGGTAAATACCACCCCAAGGTATGTACTAAAGGGTTAATCACACATATATAACAAGGTTCTAAAAGTTCCCAGAGTCTACGATCCTCCTTTTAATATTACCAACGTATCGATTAATCGGTAATTAGCAATATTCTCAAGAAAAACTCGTTTGAGTGCAACATTGTGTGACAACTACTTCTGGATTACTCCGTTATAGTCTCCACACTACATCTAATAGGTCAAGATGGGTTAAGGGTTCTACAGTTCTCAGCTTCTCTGGCTCCCAGGTCGAAAATAGTAACATCTACCCGATTACTCGGTAAACAAATACTACATTTAAAGGGGCCTCCATTGATTGGGGGATCTCATGCCTCCTTTTTCGGGATTACTCCCTCAAAGTTAACATGACTATATCCCTTGTCCTATTCTTAAGTGTAACTTAGTCCGGGTATAGGACTTCTCCTTTATAAGTATCATCAACACTCAAATAACCATAATATATAACAAATAATCAAACAAACAAACAAATAATAATAAATAGGTAATACAAACTAGGCTTAACCCACTTAAGGATGGACCAACAAGAGGTCAATCTCTCCCCAGCAGAGTCGCCAATTCTACAGCGATAAAAAATGTAGCGGGGTAAATCGGAGATCGAGCTATTAATTAACTCGACTCACAAAAAGCAAGAGTCGTAACCGCACTTTATTATTTCCAAGGAAAAAGGGAAAAGAGAGAAGTAAAACCCTTAAATATGCAATGTAAAGTAATATTTAAAAGTAATGAAAATACAATGTGTTTTTTGAAAGTGATCTAAAGTTCGGGGGTTGGTTATGGGAATGTATTAGAACCCAATGCATCTGCGGTACTCTGCAGGAACCTTTTAAAATATCTGTTTTTAAAATTGTTTGTTTGAGTAAAATGGTTCATTTGGTAAAAATGGGTGTGGACGAGATTTTGAAGATACGACGACCTAGTGTCGAAGTTTTGACTTAAAGGTGTGAGTTTGGAAATTGAGTCTTTTAGAAAAATTAACTTAAGATTAACAAAATAGGAAAACAAGAATGAATGAAGGGATTCACACAATAGTAACAAACATATTTGATGACATGAATTCAACAAAGTTAAAATATTTACCTTGGAATTGAGACGGACGAAATATATAAACGATAGAGAATAAAGTTAATTAGAGCAACAATTGAATAATAACAAAAATTCAATAAGAGATTAATTTATGAGCATGTATTTGAATAAACAAAAATTAAATAAGGGATAATTTATTAGTATGTATTTAAATAAATAAGAATTAAATAAAAGATAATATATAACATGTTTTTTGTGAATAATTAAATAAATAGCAAAAATTAAATAAAGACTAATTTGATAAAACATGTATTTTGAATAATTAAATAAAATAACAAAAATTAAGTAATAAGACTAAATTATAATGGCGTGTATTTTAAACAATTGAATAAATAACAAAATTTAAAATAAGACTAAATTATAATAACATGTATTTTGAACAATTAAAAAAATTAAATAAAAGACTAAATTATAATGTTTTTTTTTTTAATTTTTATGATAAGGGATAATTATACATAAATTGAACTAAAACTAATAGATTTTTTTAAAAGAAATATATAGTAACATATGGGGAGAAAAGACTAAAAGAACTAAAAAACAGAAAAATGCCCCAGTAGGGGTTGAACTCGGGTCTTCTAGGTTGCAGCATACAGGCCTTGCCAACTGAACTAAGTTTTCTATTTGTTATATCTATGTTTCTATTAAAATATAAGGGATAAATTGATAGTAGAATTGGGCCAAAAAGCCTAATGGGCTGACCCGGTTTGGTGGAAAGAAACAAGGAAGATGTTTTTGGAACCCTAAAGCCAAGAAAACGCCGCTGCAGTTGTTTACCATAGGGAAAGGAAAAAAACAGATAATCATTCCCAATGAACTCCTATCTCTATGTTTATTGAGTAAAATAAAATAATCAAAACTCCCTCTACAAAAATTCTTCATCTCTGTTCTTTCAAACCGTCCTTCCCTCTCTTGTTAGCTTCAAATCCTCTTAACATTAAATAAACCTCGTTGTGAAATTATTTGGCTTTATCTTCTCCCAAGTGACAAAACAACAACAATCTAATCAAATCCCAATGGATTCCAGTTTGTTTTTGGGAACAAGGCTAATGAAGAGGGTTTGAGGGTGTTGTAGAAGAGAAAGTGATGTGGAGCGGTGAGAACTGGGCTGAATCACACAATTATGGCGGAAGCGAAAGAAGTTTAGGTAATGATGAAGGCGTATGGATGGTGAGTGGTAGTGACCTAAAACGATTTTGGTTGGAAGTATCACGATAGGAGTTCGAAGGAAGGAGTTTATAGATGTAGGAGTATGTTATGGTGATGGCAGAAACGGTGAGAGAGTTGTGGTGTTGTCATTGTTGAGCAGCTGTGATAACGACAGAGGGAGGTTGATGATGCTCGCATACGAAGGAGTTATAGGGAGAGATATGGTAGGTGACAGAAGGTGGAATGCGATCAGTGGTCTTATCCTCTTTGTACCTTTCTTCTCTTCCTCAATCACTTTTGATGTATGGCGGCCACTTTCTCTTGCCTTGTCAATTTTCTGCTTCTCTGATAGTTGGAGATTAAATTGTACCATTGGCAGTAAGCCTCCAACAGTTATTCCATCTTCTGCATTAAGTCCGACATTAAATTTCCTTTGGGTAAAGTTTTTCTCTAATAAGGAGGTCTCTAAAGAATGATGATTTGGTTCTACACTCGCAACCATGAAGGACATGTACTCAAGAGTAACTTCAGTCTTCTCCTCATGAAGGTTAGAATGCACAAATCCAAATATACTTAAAATTTGATCATGATTGCACAATTGCTTAGAAGGCCTGCAACTGACTGCAAAGTTGCATGTCTCAATAGTTCACTTATCGAGTCTATTGAAACACATTCGAGATTTAGTTTCTCCAACTAAACCTCGGCCGAGATCGATAATCGCCAAAAAAAACTTATCCATATCCTTGACTGATTTATAAGAAGTAGAATCAAGTGCAATTCGTTTGGAAGCAACATTAACATTTCCATATTTCCTAGTCTTATCTTTCCAACCAAGAGGATCAATATAACAGTCTGAAACATGAATCCATTTGCTGGAATATGCAAGTTCCAGTCCCTTATTCTTTAAGAAACCCATGTAAAATGACAGACTCCGAGAAAGCGCGACGATGACGATACCGGTGTGAGATTTTGGTGTGGTGAAGTGTGATGATAGTATGTTTGGATATTTGAGTTTATAAGTATTGGGTTTGGTTCTAGTGGATAATACCTTTTTGATATACCAAAAACAGTATGCTCAGCGGACAGCTTAAAAGTGATATGAGGTGGTGAGGAGTTTAGAGTGGGTTTGTTATTTTTGGAGAAAATTTGGTATTCTGTTTGTTGATTTTAACAGGTTATATTTTACTGTGTTAACAGGTTGTAGCATATATGTATATGACATTATTATGTTTTTATTATAATAGGTTGCAAAAAAATAGTGATTCAAGTATAAAAATTACTATGCAAATAAATTTAGCAGACATGGATGTACATGTGAAAGAGTTGTGCAGAAGTAATAGAGAGGAAGAAAAATACATATCAGAGTCTCTCCGATGGAGCTCCAATACAATGAGTTCTCCCTCCCTCTCTTGTTGATGCTCAAACTTCTTTTCCTCTGATTATTTGCTGTTAAAACTTGAACAGACTTCTCCTCTATTTTTTTTTTGTTTTGACAAACTGCTTTGATGCCTTTTTTCATACAATTTTTAGTTTCCATTTTGATGCAATTTTTGGCCTGTTATGATGCAGGGTAGCAGGCTGTAGCAAACTGGTTTGTGTTGATTTATAGCAGCTTGTTTGCAGTTTTTTGGTAGCATTTGGGACTGTTATAGATTGCTGTTTTTTGGACTGATTTGTAGTATTTTTATAACAGTTTTGGGATTGTTTTGTAGGCTGTTGTTTGTATTGTTATTATTGCTGTTTTGGACAGCAAAATACCAAAAAATGGACTTTTATTTATTGAAACAAGGCTGGAAAATATGTTGTATGTGCAATTGTTGTTAGGCTGATTTACAACAATTTTGGGCAGAATTGGGAACAAGATTTATAGCCTTGGAATTAATATCAATAGGTCTAGAATTTATTTCTTATGCAACATAAATAGGAACTTATCTTGAATGTAATTTCTGACTTCCTTTGTAATTGTAAACATTTGAATCTTGATATTTATCTTGATGAAATTCAAAATCTTCCATTTGAATTTGGAAAGAATTTATTGATATTTGAACGAATTGTTGAATGATGAATAAATAATGATGCAAGCCTTAAGACCTCAATCTTTCATCTTGTATTAGAGATCCAAGTAATTTACATGAATTGATCTTGTTCCCATCAAGTATTTATTCTTGTGATGAATGAGTACTTGAATCAAATTTCTTTTTTTCCAACATCTTCTTTAATATATGCCTCATGTGAATTCAAATGGCCATGGTGTGAATCCATCAAAATAATCACACAAAAATAGTCTTGAGTAAATATTAATGTGATGAACAATTATTCTTGAATGAGCCCCTTTGATAACCTCTGTTTAATTAACACTTGAATTCACATGATGAAAATTATAAGTATTATGAATAAATTCTTCCAAAAGGATCTTGAATTTAATCACCCTACTCTAACAAAATTCACCTCGCGTCATGTAAGTATAAGAAATCGAACCATACTTAAAAGCTTTGAATGATCACTAGAAGAGGGATTTGAGGCGAAATATTATCAAATTGAGAAATTGGCATGCTGAACTGAACTTAGAGATCCTGAAACTCTTAAATCATGAAAGACGTCCCATAAAGGCTTTTCGTGGCTTTCTAAACACAATTCGTCTTCAACTTTTAAAGAAAACTTGCAGATGACTTTTGGCCGAAGTGTTTGGAATTGACTTGCATAGCTTGACCTTTTCTTGTATTTCGAGGCAAGGTGAAACACACGTGAACCAGTGATCATGGAACCTTGACTGTTCTTTTTGAATTTCGGAGACGCTTGAGGCCACTTGTTGAAACAAATCATGGAAATAAACAAATGATTCTCTTGATGAATTAGTCTTCAAGAATCAATGATCAGTTGTACTTCTGGCTTGAGACTCAAAACCCTATTTTAGGCGTGATGCCTGATGCTCTTGATTTAGACATGTTTCTACAAGTGAAATCAAAGAAACAAAAAACATACACTTAGTGCTTGATTAGAAGTTAGTTATGAATAAGATAAAATGTTCACAACACTCGATAATCTCTGCACGGGCAATACTCAAAGGTGCAACGTTCGAAACAAACCATATTTCGTGACCTTGATGCATATAAAGAAATGCAAAATGAAAATGCGATCTTAGGTTAAAAATTGGGGTATGACAAGCATTTATCTTTATGTCATTTTTTTATTTTACTCACTTGAGCTTTCATTTTCTTTTTAAAGATACTTAATAATCAACTTCAGCAATAAATTTTATTAAAGATTATATGGACTATTTGGTTACTATCCTTGGCATTATGGAGTTGTGGACCTCTTGGACCTAGGATTAGAAACCTTAACTACCCTTGAGACCTTGTGACTTCTATTGTTATTTTGTCTCGAGTTCTTGGGGTTTACCCCGAGACATTGGGTTGATTTTCTTTGTGTGCGGGTTATTCTGACTATATGCTTTGTCTGTGATAGGGAATTTCTCTGTATACAACTGTTACTCTGCCCAATTATTTTTGTGAAGACTTAATGCATCTGAAGTTTGGTATTCCTAAGAGGTTTAATATCTTTGGTTGTTTGGTTTCAATCCAAAGGATGAGAATTCTACATTGACTCATTGTGTCAAGTGTTGGCTCCTTGTTGGTTAGATGGTTCTTTTCCCTAGATTTACCTTATGCTTTAGGATAGTTCCTTCAGCTCCTCCCATCTTCTTTAATATCAAAATATTCTCCCTCCTTTTTCAAAACTCTTCTTGTATTCTAACTTGAACCGCTTTCAGAACAAACTTGGACTTAGGTCCATGCATTTTCAAAAATATTTTCTTATTTAAATTCTAACCAACTTAGTCATACTTTGACATTTTTGTGAGAAGACTAAAAGTCAATCAATCTCATTCAAACCATTTTGCCACTTTGGCTTTTTACTTAAATTTTTCTCAAAAGATTAGACTCTTGTCAATTCTTGTAGTGATGCGAGCTACTATACTTCTACGATATATAGTGAAGTGAGATATTTTCCACTTGGGTGTCGAGTAAGGCTTTGTTGATTTTAAAATCCAAGCCATATCCTCCACTTTGAAATGACACAAATTCTCCTTTCTCATAATCGTGGGTAGTAAGTATGTTCTTCCACTCGGATATGAAGATGATGTCTTGTCTCTTAAAATTAACCAACACACTTGTGTTTTAAAATTTTTAAAAGGTGAACTACCAGTACCCTTATCCCATATTACATGGAAGGTGGTACATAGGCACTAAAGGTTCGCAACCACGGCCGGTGCAAAAATTGTAAAAAATATTTCTTTTCTCATCTCCACCATATTTTTTTTTTGTATACAACACTTATAGCCAAAATACACAAATTTTCAAAGAGGTCCCTGCGGAATACCTTAGATTTTTAGGGTGCTAATACCTTCCTTTTGCATAACCAACCCCCGTACCTAGATTATCCCCCCCCCCCTTTTTGAGTTATTCACTCTTTTCCTATTCCTTTGGAAACAATAAAGCGTGGTGGCGATTTTTATTTGATCTGTGCGAGTCAAGTAAATTCAATGGCTTAGTCTCAACATTTCTATAGCTACAGAAAAATGGCAACTTCACTGGGGAAAGATCGACCAAATGTTGGTCCATCTCTAAGTGGGTTGAGACTATCTTTGTTTATTTGTGTATGTTCTATTATTTGTTGTATATTATGTGTTGCATATTTGTTTGTCTGGATTTTTTTTATGGTTTTCAGGGTGCTTGGTGATCTCTCATAAGTACTCTACCCAGACTTGGGAAAACTTAAGATAGGACGGGCGTTATAGTCATGTTAACTTTGAGGGAGTAATCCCAAAAAAGGAGACATGAGATCCTCCACTCTGTGGAGGCCCCTTTGATTGTAGTATCATTTATCGAGTAATCAGGAAGATGTACTGCTTTCGACCTGGGAGCATGCTGAAATTGAGGACCGTAGAACCCTTAACCAATCTTGGCCTTTTAGGTGTAGTTCCAAAACTATGACGGAGTAATCGGGAAATGGTTGTCACGCGATACTACACTCAGACGAGTTTTCTTGAGAATACTACTAATTACCGAGTTAATCGGGACGTTGGTAAAATCCGAAGGCAGGATGTAGACTCTGGGAACCTTTTAGAACCTTGATCACCAGGTGATAAACTATTAGTCCATACCTTGTGGGTAGTCCCTTTGACTTCATGCTCCTGACGTCGAACCTATGAACTCCCATGTTTGTGATCTTGTGAGTGATTGTTGCATCATCCATTCATGCATCCATGAGCATCCTTTAAAGCAATTATTTCAAGGGACTTAAAGTTGACTTTTTGCAAATATCACAGGTACTTTTTGACCATGAATTCTAGAAAAAGAAAGACTCGAAAGTACAATTTCAAGGATCCTAACATAGATGAATTGATGAGTCTGATTCCTGAGATCGAGAGTTCTATAGATTTTCGAAAGAAGTATGGATCTATCGTATGTCTTATGAAGCTCAGGATGAAGGAAGGTATTCTTTCTACTTTAGTCCAATTCTATGATCCGTTGTATCGGTGTTTTACTTTCCCTGATTATCAGCGGATGCCTACATTGGAAGAGTATTCTTACATACTGGGTTTACCTGTTACCAATCGTGTTCCTTTCACCGATTTAGAGGGAGAGCCCAAGTATCATGAGATTGCTTCCATGATTCATTTGGGGAAGTCTAAGATTGAGGCTAACATGACTACCAAAGGAGGAATCAGAGGATTACCCGCTCAATTTTTATTAGAGAAAGCTCGCTACTTTGCTAGGATGAAGAGTACAGTTGCGTTTGAGGTTATCTTTGCTCTACTTGCCTATGGGTTGTTCTTATTTCCTAACGTCAAAAAATTTGTGGATGTCAACGCCATCAGGATCTTTTTGATTAGGAATCCAATTCCTACATTATTAG